GTCTACGCCGCCGCTGTTGTCTACGCCGCCGCTGTTGTCTACGTCGCCACTGTTGTCTCCGTCGCCGCGGTTGTCTACGTGGCCGTTGCCGTCTTCACCGACACCGCTCGGATCATCTCAACGTCTCGTCGGCGTTCCGGACGCACGACCATCCCTGCCCAGCATCTCGATTCTTCATCGGACCAGATAAGCCCCCCGTGATAAAACCTGTCGCCATCGACCCATCGGCCCATCGGCCCCCGAGCGCGGATCTATGTCAAACCCCCCTCGCTAGTTTTATATAAGCTAAGATTAATCTATTGTATCCAGCGTAAACTATAGAAAGGTAACGCGTGAGCGTTCTCACCGCGTGCGATCTCCAAACAGATAATTTGCTAAAAATCGTAGAATAGTGATATATGACACCTTCTTTTCTCACTATTTACCATCGGAATCTCACTTGATGTTTCCATTTTCTGCCGTTTAGGACCTGAGGGCGCGTTTCATGTCCATTAGACAGCAAAGCATTGTAAAGACAGGAAAAGTGGGGGTAACTAGCAGTCCATGATTATATAGTCAAAGGCTCCAACAGTTCCGTAATCACTTATGGGCTAGCAGACGCGCCTTTGGTCGGCAGCTCCCTAGCGCTCCTAGCGGGCAAAAGTGGCTGCCCGGATCCTCATTGGCTAGCTCATGACTGGGTACCAGTGAGATTAAATTTCCACTCGGGTGCTGTGTAATGATTCTTTGAGCGAGAAAATATATCAGACAGAGGAAACTAGACCAAGATTTGAATCTGGAACCTTTCGCTTGCCAATTTCTTTTTCAACTAAGCTATCCAGGACCGCACTCTGACCCTTCCTTACTTGCATACTCTATATATTATGTTTCGTAACAAAGCAGCGAACAATACACTAACTGTGCGACTCCAAAGTAATGTTTACCGGTTTGCTCGATGATTTGATAAACTATCATTCAGGAGAGGACTTCCTTTAAATAATATAAACATTCTCCTCCATTACTCTGTACTCGAACAGGTTAGTCTCGAAGTGAGCAAATAGAAACGAACATGATCTCTAGCAACCCATTTAAGCACGTATATAATTCTAAAAAGATCACAGATGTACGAGGGTGAGTCAAAAATTATCTGCACTTTTCGCTCTACAATTTATTTACACAAAAATAGGGGTTCAATTGGTACACCATTTTTCAACATAGTCTCCTCCCTTGGCAATGCACTTGGTCTAGCCGTCCACAAGCTTGCATATTCCTTCCGAGAAGAAGATTTTCGGTTGGTCGCAAAGCCACTTTTGCACCGTTTACTGCAGCCCAGATCTTGCTCCCTCCGACTTTCATCTGTTTGGGCCGCTCAAGGATGCTTTGCGAGGTCGCTAATTTTCTACAGACGTAGACGTGCAGGAAGCGGTGCAAAAGTGGCTTTGCGACCAATCGAAAACCTTCTTCTTGGAAGGAATACGCAAGATTGTGGACCGCTGGACCAAGTGCATTGCCAAGGGAGGAGACTATGTTGAAAAATGATGTATACATTGAACCCCTATTTTTGTGTAAATAAATTGTAGAACGAAAAGTGCAGATAATTTTTGACTCACTCTCGTAATTTGAGATCATCTACCTAAAAAGTATCAATGCTTAGTCTGTATCAACTGTAAACAGTTGGACTGTATTGGAACTTCTTCCCCAGCAGTACTCCCTCTTTATAAAATAGTCAGATTGTGATAGCTTGTGTGTTAGAAACTCTACTTGCATAGTTAAAAACATTCATCCTATTCCATTCATAATAAGTTCCCTAGTCAATTTCACTTCTACAACACTTCCAGATAATACCGGATAGAAATCCAATTTTTAATTATTGTCTAGGATCCTGCGGAAAATATAGATACCCTAAAGTCTGGACATTATCCTTTCCTGATTTTATTTCGTTGACACTATTCTTAAACTCTTACTGATCTTAACCAAATTTGGCATAATTACTCTTCACGACCTTGCGGAAAACATGGACTACCATGAAACTGGACATTTCACTTTTGATTTCATCCCCTTAACACTAACGGGCAACGCCAAGTAGTTTAAAGGATCAGTTAAAATCGTCACTCGGCATTAATAAGACAACGGTAAAAATGCCGAATAGGGGACCCCGCTCCTACGAACTTGACCTTGACATATGTTGTCAAGGACACCTAACTGAGTAACGTAAAAAAGGTTTCAGCCGTCGCTTGTTGTTCGTTAAAAAGTTATTAGGAAAAAAGTTTGGTTTATGTGTAAGTTGCAAGTGCGTTAGTACGGCGCGCTACGCGCGCCCCACCCCCGTCCCTTCCCGCTCCCCCCCCCCACCCCACCTGCTCTCTCTCCCCACCTCCTTCCCCGCACTTCCAACTTACCACCCTATCTATGATGATACCACCTTATATATGAACGAGCTATACTACTCAAACGCTAAGAACAACGACGACAACCTTTAAACGTCTCAATACAAATGTTGACGAATCCGTTCGCTACACAAACAGGGAGAGATCGTACTTAACACAACGTATTAAATAGTGTCATAAAAGTATGGTTCGATTTTACGAAATTGTTATGTTGTGTCATCGCTCCGAGTAACGTATAAAAAGTTTTAGCCGTCGTTCGTTGTTTATCAAAAAGATATTAATAAAAAAATAACTGCAAAGAAATGAAAAATTAATATATAAAAACCACGACCTGGAAGGATAATTAAAATATTTTTTAAAAAACACGACATAGAGCGATAAATAGGAAAACGATGACATACACGGTAATTGGAAACAAACAGTGAGTGAATGAGGAGGGGTAGAAGAGAGGAAGCAGGTGGGACGGGGGAGGGGGCGGGAGGGGGAGGAGGCGGGATGGGAGGGGGTAAGGCGCGCGTAGCGCGCTGTGCTAAACGCACTTGCAACTTACGTGTTTATGAAAATTTTTGGCAATAACTTTTTTACGAACAGCGAGCGACGGCTAAAACCTTTTTTACGTTACTCAGTAAGGTGTCCTTGACAATATTGTCACATATATATGTGACAAGGTCAAGTTCGTAGGAGCGGGGTCCCCTAGTCGACATTTTTACCGAGGGGTTTTTAGCTGGTATTCCCGCTTCACGGGTGAGTCCGGCATAACCATCCAGGACCGGCCTGATGGTATACGTAAATGCGTTTTCCCCTCTCGGAGAAAAAAAGGTTAGGATAGGATACCTGTCATACGCTGTCATACGACAGCAACGCCAATGCCATGTTGCGACAGAAAAGTGAGATGGATTTTGGCCTGGTTGACCACGACGACGACCACGACGACGACCACGATGACGATGTTTCTTAATAAAAATTACGTAAAAATTCAGACTCGTGGACTTTGCATTGCAATATCTCTACTCATGGGGCACGTAGGAAAAAAGTAAAAATACTTTTATTATGCAAATCGTACCCAAGCTATCGATTAAGCGCAGTCTCAAGTTCGTGGGATCAGCCATTGTTGAGATCCAAAAATCTGAGGGCCCGTCAAGTCGTGTACTCGCGTAAACTTACACGGTCTGTCTCGCGCGCGCGGTACTAGCTGCGCTTACACTTGGCGCGAGACACTACCGTGTCTCGTGATACGCAGGTTACGCTACGCAATTTACGCTCCATGTGAAAGCACCCTAAGGCCTCAGTCTGCGCCGCTCCCGTATAACATCGGTTGGTGTCGATACGACAGGTATCCTAACCCCACAACTGTCAGATTTTAACAATTCATAGCTGTCTTATTAGTGCCGAGCGACGATTTTAACTTGCAGATATTTTTTACAGGCCAAAATAGACGATCCTGTGAATTTTTATCACAAATGGAGAGTGAGAGGCTCTCTCAGTATTACCTGAGAGAGTATGAAGGATCTCAATGAGAACTACGATGTAACAATAGTAAAGTAGGAAACTACCTGATAAGTTATCTCGCGTTTCCTACTATACCGACTAAATCACATGGTAGGTAAGTACCAATATGTAGTACACAGAATTGAGGTTCATGATGCATAGCGCCATATGCGTACATGCGCGCTCAATTCGGCCGTCGAGCTTTGAGCGGTAGTGGGGGAAGAGGAAACAACGCTTTAGAAATCGATCTGGAATGTGGGTCTGCTGACTCATTGTCCGTTCTTACTTCAGAACCGTCTTAAGATACTAATATAATTCCGAGATTGGCTTAGTCATAAGACAGTCATTGTGCATTACTTTAAGACAAAGATTTAAAACATAAAACATTGTTAATAAGAGAATACGGCTCTGACGAATAAATATCAATGAATAAAAAGGCTAAGAGCCTTGACTAGGTGTTAGTGTCACAATAGTATAAGTTTAGTTTATTTAAAACATAAAAATTACAAACGTTTTAACCTTTGACTTTTATATTTAAATTATTTTCTTTTACTCTTCTTCTTTTTATACACTGAGGATGGTCTAAAGACCGAAACGTTTGTAATTTTTATGTTTTAAATTACTAAAACAACTTTGAGTGACAAAATTTTCAAAAAGTGTGGAAAAAAGTAGTAAAATCGTAACGTCCAGTGAATAAGAAACAATTTTAAAAGAGAAAAACAATAGACAACTATTTATAGATTGTAAAATGTCAAATGTATTGTGTAAAATTAAAGATACTTTAAATCCAAAAACTTTTGTATGATAAAAATTAAATTCATGTTTAATGCACTGATTGCACTAATTGATGAGACATTTCTTGAGATTAATGACTCGCTTCTGAACTTCATATTCAAACAATAATTGTAGGAATTGTATGCACAAAATATAAATTAAAAATTGAAAGGTTGACGCAGTACAGTAGAATAAGTATTAACACAATATAATATAAACAAATAACTGAAAATAAATGATAGATATAAATGAAAGATCTTGAATCCTATATAGTTTTTATGAAACATCCTGCATATTAGGTAAAAATCTGTATAGCTCTCCTGTTACTTACGCATCAAGTTATATGTATATACTTATTAAACAAGTACCTACTGGTTTTGTATAGATGACTATAGCGTCCACAGCTCTTTTGAATGGTTGAACTCTAGCCATGTCGAGACATCACAAGTACACTTATTTCTTCTGCAACATATTAAATTATATGTTATATTAAAATCATTTAAGAACATGTTCACAAGCACTTGTGCAAAGAAATTATTCAATTAAAAATTCAAATTAAGGAATTTAACAGGTTGTCTACTAAAAAATTATGCATTAGCATTACACAATTGCTTTACCAAAAGAGATTAACAAGCTTTTTAGTCTAAAAGCACAATCTAAGTACACAATACATACATGTGCACTATACAATATAAAATCTATTATATTTAAGCAGATTGTTCTAGAAATACTTTAATGTGTTGAATTATATACATATAATTTTCAAGATTTATCTCATGCTTAGACAAAAACAAATGATCCTTTCATTAAAAATATGTATATACATTATATATATATATAAAAGTTGCATATAGCAAATTACATTAATATTTGAAATAAAATAATAATGTTTATAGAATATTTTATAACATTTACATTGCTGTACCTGAATGCAGACTTCTTTAATTTTTTGGCTCCTGGCTCCTGTCTCCGATCGGAAGTTCATACAGTAATTAACTTGTGTGTGCGGTCGGATTCAAGCCGTAGACGATTTTCGTCTAAGAATTCCATAAAACGTTGTTGGGAGTCGCTCGGAGCACGAGACACCCATCAGAATGCAGATGTGTTGAACCGTTGAACAGAACGTTTACGTAAGTTCAGCACTTATTTTGTTCTCAAATCACTAAACGTACGGAATGCTAACGCAAATCAGGTATCGCACAAATCACAAGTAACTTTGCAACACCAACCGTAATCAACAATCTACAGTATACCGTACAGCCACCGTGTCACAGCACATTGACAACACAAAATGGCGGTGAACTGATCAAGTACCGCGTACGACACAGTCCACCACAGTCGAATATGTCTTTACGACCGTGCGTGTACAATAGTTGACTCTGTCGGTTATCTGTATGTACTACATGATTGCCGTGGTTGACTCGATCGGTCATCTAGATGTACTGCATGATTGATGTGGTTCACTCGGTCGGTAATATCCATGAACCTTATAAGAATCGCTAAATGCTCTGCCAGGCAACGATGTAAACTCCACTGTTCTTACAGCACGCTGTAGTCAGAAAGGAGATACGCTCACAAGCGAGCAGCCGTGTGTGTGTGAGCTCGGCACTTCAGGCCAAAGCCCAGCGACATGGTTGCTCGCTTGATGCGTTATCCCCTCTCCGACCACAGCGTGCTGTAAGAACAGCGGAACTTGCGTCGCTGCTGCCAAGCAGCTGAGCATGCGGAAGGGACAGGCTGGGGGTAGCGCTCGAGACTATCGTTTTCTAACTTTAATACTGCCCGACGCCGGCTGAATGCCGAACTCACAAACTTCTATATATAGGCCGGTATTCACCCACACAGCACTAGATGTCCCATGGATATACATTTTAAGTCCCATTTACGTCCATACGTCCCGGGACTTAAATGGAACTTAAATAGGATATCCTTTTTTGATATAATAGGGATATCCTCATAATATATCCTACGGACATTCAACGTACATACATCCAAGTTGAAATTCATTATCTTAAATTTTTAATATATTATTACGACGTTTATAAACATATTAATTTTTTATTATTGAATTAGTGTTACCTACTTTAAAGAAATCGAATATATTTCTTATTACTAAAAATATTTCATTAATATTAAAGTTGTACATAAATTATATATAATAGAGTTGGGGGGAGAGAGAGAGAGAGAGAGAGAGAGAGGAGGGAGGGGGGGTGCGCGCGCGTGTGTGAGTGAGGGAGTGAGAGAGTGAGACAATGAGAGAGTGAGACAGTGAGAGAGTGGGAGAGCGGAGGGGGAGAGAGAGAGAGAGAGAGAGAGAAGAGAGAGAGAGAGGAGGGAGAGAGAGAGAGAGAGAGAGAGAGAGAGAGAGAGAGAGAGAGAGAGAGAGAGAGAGAGAGTCAGAAGCGAGTGTGATGAAAATTCTTACGTGTTACTGTCAAATAAAAAGACATTTGGATAAAAACAAATTTTAGACAGTTTTAGGGCCCTATGAAATACATAAAAAATTATCTTTTTTCTTTGATAAGTAACCTACTGTTTATTGAATGTCAAGGAAAAGAGATAATTTTTGGCATATTTTACAAGTGTACTAAAACTACAATGTTTTCATCCAAACATGCACAAAAATTTTCATATATGAAATCTTGCTTCTGACGTCACAGTTCAACGTCGCGGGAGGGGGAAGTATTAAAAAGCATTTAGAAATCCATTGGATGTCGAGTGGATATTGTTAGGATCGATTTTATTGTATATAATTACTTCTTTAGGATGTCCTTAGGATGTCCGGGTTTGGATCGCGTATAGAGATCTTATAAGCGGACATAGGGACGTATATCCTTAGTATGTTCTACCGATTTTCACGGATATACCCGGGATGTTTGAAAATCCCTTTAGATATATCCGGTGGACATACTTGGGATCAACTTTTACTGTGTGGGCATAGTCAATTCTTATTTCAAAATCATCTTAAGTATTGTCTTAAGAAACTAATACGGCTCTGTGATTGGTTAAAAACACATTAAGAGTATACTTAATTAAGATGATCTTAAATACAGGATTGGGAAGTAACGCGTTACTTGTAACGCCGTTACCGTTTTCGTTACTTTTTTTCAGTAACGATCGTTACATTTTTATGTCTGTAACGGTAAAGGTGCCTTTTCATACGCAGCATGCAGCAGCAGCAAATTAGTCACGTGATCCAAATTCACTGAGAGCATATTTGCTGCTCATGGAAAAGGAATAGCTGCAGCAGCACTGGCCGGCTAGATCGCGTGTCTGCTGCTTTGCTGTTCGTTCAATTGAACTTCACAGCGATGAAGCAAAATATGGTGAAATTTATTTTGCAGCATCTAGTAACAATTCTTCAACCAATAGCAGCGAGTTGCTGCGGCAGTATGCTGCGCATGAAATGGTACCTTAACGGTAACGTCGTTACATTTTTACAATAATGGTAACGAATTCAGCCGTTACTTTTATCGTTACTTTAGTTCCCTATTATCTTTTATATCCGTTCAATAGATCGTGCGCTGGTCGCGCGCATTATTCTTGATTGAACAAAAATATTCCGATAATGGGCGCTGGAAGTCAATGTCACATGAGAATGCGCTGTAAGCATTTATCGATGTCTCGATTCTGTATGCTTGATGACTTGCTATATAGAAACTAGTTTAAAATTTTAACTTTTAATATTGATTGTTAAATAATAATAATGTAATTTTATAATCTAATGTCTTACTTTAGCATTTCAACAAAGTAACGAAAAAAGTAACGAATCATTACTTTCTAAGTAACGGTAACGGTAACGCGTTACTTTTTTAAGGTAACGTTCCCAACCTTGCTTAAATATAAGAACGGACTATGAATCAGTGATGCCGTTTGAGAACGTCAGCCACATCGCGACAGCGGTGGTGGGGATGGCTCTCGTGCCGCACATAGTATGTACACAGTATAACCAGTAGTTGCACTCTCTGTCGGCACCTTTGATCTGGGCGTTCTCAATTTTCCGCCGTGTTTTTATTCTCGCCAACAGTGTATCAACGGCTAAAAGTGCCTGGGTCGTTTTCAGGATCGTATCCAGAAAGATAAATCAACCGGTGTAAAGAAAACACACAATTGTAAAAAAAAATTTTTTTTATTACTTGTTACAAAATTGTGTTTTCTTTACACCGGTTGATTTGTATCATTATTCTATTAAAAAAAGTATTAAGGTAAGATGATAAAAAAATGAATATTTTACAAGATATTTTGTGATTTATGTCAAAATATTGAAACTTTCAAACCTTAGTAACTCAAAAAGTTCTTAATAAAAAAACTTTATTATAGCGTTTTGCAAAGCTCTCGAGGTCAGCTACAAGAATATGTAATAAAAAATAGGGGATGCTATTTAAAAACATTGGTGTGACCTTTATGTGACCTTAAAATAATTCTTCAAGGTCAAACCAATGGTACCATCTTATGTCCCTGACTGAATTACGGTGCCGTGGCTGGAATCGGCTGGCTACGGCGGGTGCCGAGAAAGCTCGGCGGAAGCGGAGTACCCTCCACTTCCTGGTCCCTGTGAGCCGTGTCCGATACAGGTCAGGTAATGTACCCGAACCCGAGAATCCTCGGTCGAGGCGGAGAGCGCTCCACCCCGTGTGTATCCGGGTACGGTGTGCAGGTAAGCACGCGTGCGCAGTGTCAAGAAAGCTCGACTATGACGGAGTACTCTCCACCGCTGGTTTCCCACTGCGAAGCGTGCGAGAGGATTCGGGTAGCGAGACTTGCGGATGAGCGCGTCGTGCTCGGAAGCTCGTCTCCAAGGAGTAATCTTTTTAGCCCGGTTGCCCCTTTTTATAGGGGCTAATTGTCACGGCTAATTAGCCCGCTCGAGGGTGCGTGCAGAGAGAAGCCTGAGGGTGCTTTTACATGGAGCGTAAATTGCGTAGCGTAACCTGCGTATCACCAATCACAGGATCATGCTGATAGAACCGTTTCAATAATTCCGTTGAACTAGTCCTGTGATTGGCGATACGCAGGTTACGCTACGCAACTTACGCTCCATGTGAAAGCACCCTGAGAGATGTCACGGCCCCGTTTTTCGTGATTGGCGAATGCGATACGCCCTCTGTGGACATTGAAAACGTGGACATTGAACTACGTAGCCAATGTTCACATTTTGCTAAGTGGGTAACGCAGATTTGCACAATTTTAGCCCCGTCCCGCGCTATGGTTAGATCCCATGCAATGATCTTGTACTTAAAATAATCTTAAGTACAAGAGCATCGCACAGGAACTGACTATAGCACGAAACGTAACCAAAATTTCGCAAATCTGCGTTACCTACTTGGCAAAATGTGGA